ACTTTTTATAAGTACAGAAATTTTTTGAGCTTTTGGATCTCATTCAGTCAATGGTTCTGAACAATAAATATCTTACCGGTTTACAAAGTTCTGGAAACTTGTGACCAATAAGATTGCTCAGGTTAATTTTTGCGTGTGACAGCATACATGGAAACCGCTATGGGCAAAAATTAACCGGGTATGGACAAACCTACGGAGGCAGTTCTATTTACATTAGCATTATAGAAAGTCAGTTAACCACCCCCAAAGAATTTAAGGGAGGGCGTAGACACCATCAAAGAAGTTCGAAAAACCCAAACTAGAACTTTTAACATTTAAAAATCACATACCACTTTTAACTTTTAAAAGAAGCAAAGAACCATCAGGTAACAAAAGACGATGACCGTTCCCAACTTTAACAGGTTCCGAGTCTTTATACCAAGTTATTTCAACTCCTTCTCCTTCTGCCTCACACCTAAACGACTTTCAGACATTAAATCCAAAAATACAAAAACCTCAAAGTAGCCGGATCATCTTTCGCTACCAAAATATCCAAAGGATGTTCAGAAATTGTTGGGGGTTCTCCTAAAATTTTTTTAAATTAAAACAATTTTAAAAACAAAAAAACCTGTAGCTGCTATTCTTGCAAGACAAAGAAGGAAAAATAAATTAATTAAAACTAGCACTGAAAGCATTCGGTTTTCACATTGCGTGGTGAATAGAAATAAGAGAATTATTTAAATAAATTAGGCATCTAAAATGGAAAATTAAAAAAATTATTTTTCTCTTAAAACCAAAAAACAAAAAAAACTAGGCTTCTTTTGTGGTTTTATAATGACTCATTTCATTGTCCATTCCAATCAATAAACGTAATTAAATATTAATTAGAAAGCTATTCTTTTTGCAGAAGAGAAGCAAAATAAAATTAAAAGGAAAGAAAACAAAAAGAGAAAGCCCTAGAAAAAGGAAAAGCTCTCTTTTTGACCAGCTAGGTCCGTAATGGAACCAAAGAAAGTCCTGCTACTTAAATTACTTTATCAAGGGTTTGAGGTTTTTGGATGGAGGTAACAATGGAATTTTTAGGAAGGCTCTTAAACCTAGGAAATTTCGAAGACATTTTATCCCAGTTTTAATCACAAGACATTTTATCCCAAAAATTTCAGGTCCAAGACAATTTATCCCCATAATGAGCAATTTTCTAGAAAGGCTCTGAAATTTCTTTCGAGTTTTTCAGCCCTAAAAAATGAAGCTCCAAAACATTTTGTCACAAAATTTCAGTTTCGGACATTTTGTCCCAAAAAACTTGTTAGGTCCATTATTAAAAATAATTTTTTCCTTCATTACTATATGAAGCACCTCTGCAAAAAAAGTAATCAACCAACATTAATTTCCGAGAAAATAGCAAAAAAAGGCAAGGATTGAGACAGCCCAACAGCACGCAATTTTCTCTCTCCCTTAATAACACCACCACAACAACCCTCAACACTCCTCACCCAATTTTCCTTCCTTTCTTCTTCTTCCATTTTCCGCTGCTCGATTATTGATGTTTGTATGTGTATACATACATATGTGTGCATTTTGTGTCCCCATATGTGAGTGACCAAAATAAAAAAAATATAAATAAATTATGCTTCTGTGAACATAAGTGACAAAAAAATCCATTAGCTTTCTCAATACAAAAATTTTTATTCAAAAAAATAAATTTAAAAAATATAGGTAAATAATTTGAACAAATTTTTGGTAAATGTGGAGATTACTGGTCCCGAAAAAAAATGATAAAGAAATGCTTTTTTGATATTTTTGAGGGTTGCCAGTAGGTAATCGAGTGTGCTGAGTCCGAATCTGAGCTTAGAATTTGTTAATTTCGAACCCAGGACCTGATTTCGACCAAGTCGAATTCGGGGTAAAAAATTCGAAATTAAAAATTTAGGACTAATCTGACACGCCTATTCGAGATATGTCGATTGGCATCAAAATTATCAAGTTTCGACCATTTTAAACGAAGTTATGATCAATTAAATAACGTTGGGTTAGACTTCCGTATACAAATTAGACACCATAACTTCGTTTAAAATGGTCGAAACTTGATAATTTTGATGCCAATCGACTCATCTCGAATAGGCGTGTCAGATTAGCCCTAAATTTTTAATTTCGAATTTTTTACCCCGAATTCGACTTGGTCGAAATCGGGTCCTGGGTTCGAAATTAACAAATTCTAAGCTCAGATTCGGACTCAGCACACTCGATTACCTACTGGCAACCCTCAAAAATATCAAAAAAGCATTTCTTTATCATTTTTTTTCGGGACCAGTAATCTCCACCAGACCTGGGCGAAACTCAAAATTTTTTTCTGACGAAACGAAACGAAACAAAATTTTTTAAAAATCGTTTCGTTAACGAAACGAAACGAAACAACCTAAATCTTACGAAACGAAACGAAACAAAACGAAACATTTTAATATTCAAAAAATTTTCAAAACTGCATTTATTTCGCAATTATTCGACCTCAAATACTTTATTAGTCGCCTACTTATAAATGATTTAGTTATTGGTTTATTTACAACAATTGTGTCCCATAAGCCAGGCCCGTAGCAAGGAAAATTTTCGGGGAAGGGGGGGGGGTCAATCATTTTCGAAGCCGAATTTTTGGCGACGCTTTTTTTCAAATAAAATTGAATATTTTTCAAGTAAAATTTTATTTTAAGCGCCGCAGACGAAAAATTTTAAAATTTTGAAAGGCCGTAGGCCAAAAAATTCACTATCTTGCTCCATTGCCTACCCAAATTGTCTCCATATCTCCATTTCGAGAGGCGAAAATTTGGCGAAAATTTGGCGAAAAAAGCAGGCGAAAATTTTTTAAATTTTCAATAAAAGATGGTAAATTTTATAGATTTTGGCCTTAGTTTAGGCTTAAAAAATTGTTTCGTTTCGTTGAAAAATCACAGGTGTTTCGTAACGAAACGAAACGAAACAAATTTAAAAGTGTTTCGTAACGAAACGAGACGAAACAGTAAAAATCATACGAAACATACGAAACAACGAAACGAAACGAAACGTTTCGCCCACGTCTGATCTCCACATTTACCAAATTTTTTCTCATTTATAAAAAATCTTTAAAATCCCAAATTGGTCAAAAAGTGTTCATTTTTTTATTTTTGTACTATCGCATTATACCCCAACTAAGGTTGGCGGGTCCTGGGAAATCTTCGGATATCCGGATACAATATCCGAACCTTTTTTCGGACCATCGTGCCCGTAAAAGTTCGTCCTCAACGTTTTAATGTGCCATAGGGAATAAGTGCCTGTCCGTTACTTATCTTCTTATTAGGGTAGCACCCCTAGCCTTCGGGATCGGGGTTTTCCGGGGGTTCGGGTTGTGATTTTTGCCAAAAAACGTCGGGGTTCGAGTTGCTACCCTGGATTTAAATAATTTTTTAAATTTATTTTGTCGTCAGATTAATAAAAACAATTTTTTCATCCTTTTTAATTCTTCTCTTTCATTTTCTTGATTTGAATTAAAAAAGCCGATCCATCTCCCATTTTCACTCCAAATTCCTTATGGTAAAATGAGAATATCTCTTTTGGATTATAAATATTTGCAATATGATATTTTGTAATTTTTGTATCATCTTTTTGTATATTTTCAATTTTTTCTGCTCTTTCGTTCAATTTAAAATTGGGTAATAAAATACAATGTAAATCAATAGTAGACACCATTTCTGATAAATCCTTGGATGTTATTATATGCTGAAATTTAAAATATTTCTGGCATACAGTGTGTTAAGAAATTATAACCCCCCTTGAATTTTTTGAGTTTCTCTATCTTCCCGTTGTCGGATTGTTCTGAAATTTTTGCAGTAGTTTTGTAATGTATATTAAATAATATCTACAAAATATCTTTAAAAATTTCTGATCACAAACTTTTTTATGGACGTTTTTCCAAAAAATTAGTGTTAATAAATTATAACCCCCCTATATTAAAATTTTTTTAAAGCACGGAATATCTCTACAAAAATTTTTCTGAACATATCTACCAATATAGATATGAAATACAAAAGAAATGAAATTCTTATGTACTCCCATCATCGAGATCTCGAAATCCGAAAATGAACGTAAAACGGGGGTAAAGGTCTTTAAAAAATATTTTCGACCCTTTATAGGAGAAATAAAAATTTTATTTTGGGTTTATCTGAAAGCCCTTAAAATTTGCTACAAGTTAGTCTTTATCTCATTATACAGAAAAAATTCACCGTCGAGTGACAAAGTGATAAACTTTCAAGTCATAAAAATTAATCAAACGCCCCCAATAAGTGACGAAAATGTAACTTATAAACTAAACCCATTATTTCTCAACGATGAATTTTTTCCGGAAAATAAAATTAATGCTATCTTATAGCAAATTTAAAGGGCTTTCAGAAGAGTATCAAATAAAAATTTAACACACCCTATAAGGGGTCGAAAATATTTTTTAAAGACCTTTACCCCCGTTTTACGTTGATTTTCGGATTTCGAGATCTCGATGATGGGAATACATAAGAATTTCATTTCTTTTGTATTTCTTATCTATATTGGTAGATATGTTCAGAAAAATTTTTGTAGAGATATTCCGTGCTTTAAAAAAATTTTAATATAGGGGGGTTATAATTTATTAACACTAATTTTTTGGAAAAACGTCCATAAAAAAGTTTGTGATCAGAAATTTTTAAAGATATTTTGTAGATATTATTTAATATACATTACAAAACTACTGCAAAAATTTCAGAACATTCCGAAACGGGAAGATAGAGAAACTCAAAAAATTCAAGGGGGGTTATAATTTCTTAACACACTGTATTTTTTGTGTATTAAATCCTTTAATAAAATAGAGGGGTGTGCCGTTTCGACTTTCGCCTTTTATAATCTGTTTCGGCATATCCATGATTCAGCGACCTTTTTTCGGCGAAGGCGAAACGGCACAATCCAATTTCTCTCAACTCTGAACAGGAAGGGTCAAGTCCCACCACAATTTTCAACATTACTTCTTAAATAACTCTTACTTTAATAATAAGATCATAAAGCATTGAAGATCTTGAAGATTTATAAATACCCAAATAAACTCGAGGAACTTTATTGCCTTCATTTATTATAATATTGAATAAAATATTAGTATGTTGCTCTGAAAGGTCACCAAAAAAGGTAGTGTTGACAGACTCATAAATATCAAAGTGAATTAAACCAAATTTCAAAATATTTTCGATTGTATTATTGGCATTGATAGACATTAGACGGAGGGATTGAACGTGAAATTGTGTAAGAATTGTTTTGTCATTATCAAATAATAAATTAATCATTTTTGGATTAAATATAATATATTCAAATCTTGTTTGAAAAAAGGCACAGTTAAAAAGTTGTTGTAACCAAAATCGAACAATAAACATTTCTTCTATTGTTTTTGGCACGTTTGGAAATTTTAAAATATAATGGGGTTTGTTGTCATCTAAATAGAAAAATAACTTGCTAGTTTTCCAAAAAATCAGGATCTCACTGCATCAATCAAGTTATCAACGTTAATGAACGGGCACAGACGCTTCTAGTGTAGTCATGAACCCAAATAATGCTACAGAATTTAAATGTAGCAACATTAACTCAAGAACATTAAAAACCCCCAGGGTATCCAGGAATAGCTCCGTCTTCCTTATAAATGCCCATTATTTTACATTTTTAAACCTGTTTTCCCTACACAAACAACAAAGCTTTTATTATCTCCAAAATCATGTAAAAACAACGTAAACGATTCAGCTATCGCTGTTTTCCACTGAAAAGATACAAGGAAACTAATCAAAATAAAAAATTTTATTAAGAACCTTCTTCATAAGCTGATCATCCAAAACAAAATCAGAAATTACAGGCTCAAGTTTAATGATTATATCTTGACTATGGATTTTTCTGGTATCAACCTAAAATCAATTTTTACACTAATAAAATTAGCTGATATTTACCAAAGAGAATTTATCAAATTCCATTCGGGCCAATCCTCCCTCATATTTATTAATTAAATTGCAAAAATAAGAATTTGATTGTCGGAGAGAGAATAATTGCTCAAAATTAAGACATTTTAAAACGTCAAGTTGAACTTCCGGCGGAATAGAAAACATTTTAAACAGTAAAATTCTAAACAAAATTTAACTTATAGAAGCTCCTGGGAATAAAAAACTGAAAAATATCTAAAAAAGAAATTCGTAAAGTTAAAAAATATTTAAAATAAATTATAGCAAGTTTTAAACTGCTAAAAATGATTCAACCAAAGCAAAAAAAATTTTAATTTAAAATAAATGAAAAATAAAGATGTTGGGCTTCATGTTGTGTATTGGCTTAGTATGAAGCACAGTTTGTTAGTTACTGTATTATCTCGTATTCTTTGTTAGTACTTAGACAGAAGTCTAGTACATAACAGTGATGCAAAAGTTCCAGTTCCGGAACTGGAATCATGGAACTGGCAAAGGTCTGAAACTGGTTTGGAACTGATTCCGGAACCGGTTCCAGAGAAATTTTGGAACTTCTGCATTACTGGTACATAACACTTCAATATCTTTATCCAATTAACAAAAAAAATTGTGATATATCCTGAAATTCTACATTACTTTTTGAGAAGAATATACCAAAGCTTCGAACATGAAATTCTTTAAGAGTTGTTTCATCATTATCAAATAATATATTAATAATTTCTGGATTAAATGCAATATGAGAAAACAAGGCATAATCAAAAACACAGTTAAAAAGTTGTTTTAACCAAAATCTAATAATAATCATTTCCTCTATAGTTTTTGGAAAATTTGGCAATTTCAGAATATAACGGGATTTTTTGTCACCTAAATAGAAAAATGGTTTAACTAATAAAGAGAAATCTGCAATGGAAAGCTAGATTTGTAGCTCAGGAAATCAGGATTCAGTGGATACCAGGGAACGAGCCGACAAAAAAAACAAAATTCCCAATGAAAATTTAATTTCCGATTTCGTGAAATCGGAAATTCCGACACAAAAAAACGTCGGGAATTCCCGATTTTCGGGAATCGGGACGGCTCATTCCGTGGTATATACCTTATAAGCGTCAATACCCTTTTTCTCAAGCTGAACAGCAAAGCTTTCAATACCATCTTCAAACATATGTAGATACAATGGAATAGATTCAGCCATCGCTGCTTGCCACTGAAAAAACAAAAATCTATAAAAAATAATCTATAATCTTCAACCTTCTTCATAAGTTGATCATCCAAAACAAAATCAGAAATTACAGGCTCAAGTTTAATGAATTTATAGTAATCCATCTCTTGACTATGGATTTTTCTGGTATCAATCTAAAATAATTTTTAAATAAAAAAATTAGTTCATATTTACCAAAGAGAGTTTACCAAATTCCATTCGTGCCAATCCTCCCTCGTATTTATTTATTAAATTATAAAAGCAAGAATTTGATTGTTTAAGAGAGAATAATTGCTCGAAATTAAGACATTTTAAAACGTCAAGTTGAACTTCAGGTGAAAGAAAAAACATTTTAATCAATGGAAATCTATAAAAAAATTAAAAAAGAAATAAAATTAAAGGTTTGAAAACATTTAAAAATAAATTAGCAAGCTTTAACTACTTAAAAATGATGAAAATAAATATAAAACATTTTTAATTAAAGGTCAAAAAATATTTTTTTGAATACTCCATCGAACAATAAATTAATAAAATATAATTCTCTTTCAAATTCTACTCTTCCATCTTTTCGATATAAACATAAAATATTGTTTCAAATTTCTGATTTGAAAATAAAAATTTCACTTTTGGATTATAAATATTAACAATTTGGTATCTTGTATATTTATATCGCTCACTAGTTTTAACATTTTTTGCTCTCTCAGGTAATTCAGGTAATTTAAAATTTTCACGTGGATCAAAAAATATCTGAATAGAAGGCACCATTTTAGAGAAATCTTTAGACGTTGTTATATACTAAAATTAAAAAATTTCAACTTTAATTTCTAAAGAACTCTTACTTTAACAATAAGATCATAAATTCTTGAAGACTTGAAACAACCAAGACCAACTTTAGGTAATTTATCGCCTTCATTTATTATAATATTGAATAAGATATCAGTTTGTCGTTCTGCAATGTTGTTCTTGCTGAAATCACTTTCAACAAAAACAAACTTGACAAATAACCAAGAAATTGCAAATCGGTTTAAAACAAATTTAAAAATATTTTCCTTTATATGATTGCTATGATATAGATTGAAATTTTGAACGTAAAATTGTTTAAGATTTGTTTTGTCGTTATCAAATAATAAATTAATCATTTCTGGATTAAATATAACATGTATAAACTTAACATCTTCAAAAGCACATTTAAAGAGTTGTTTTAACCAAAATCGAATAATAACCATTTCTTCTATAGTTTTTGGAATGTTGGGCAATTTAATATAACTGGAGTTTCTGTCTTCTAAATTGAAAATGTGGTAATTAATAAATATAGAGATTTGCGATGAAACTAGAGTTAATTCAAGAAATCAAGGTATAGTGGGTACTAGTGTTTCGCCAAGTTCAGGTTCCGGTAGGCCGGAAGTTCCGGAATTTTTTGGTTCCGGCCCTTCAGTTCCAGTTAAATTGTAACTTTTTAACACCCATAAGGATGTGATCTCTCATTTTTTATATAGAGAAAATTAACCGCATGGCTTCCAAAATTCTCAAAATTTTCGCCTACAGAGCTGAAATCTAGTCTTGGGCTTGAGTCTTGAAAAAGTTTCGGTCTAGCACGTCTCTAGAAAAAACGAGACTTAAAGAAGATAATGTGTAAGGAAGAGAAAGAGAGAGAAAGATCCAGCTGGGTAGCATTTAAAACGCTCACTAGGCGGGGGTTTAAGATCTAATAAAAGAAAAGGTGAAAGCAGCGTCGCGGTAGCTCAGTTGGCAGAGCACCTGTACGTGGTGAGCAAAAGCGCCTAGCAATAACTGCCAGAGGTCGCAGGATCGAAGACTGCCCGGGATTAAACGTTTACCTCGCTCTTACTAATGCAAAGAAACATTTTCTTTTATTAGATCTTTTTTATGCTGAATTATTTACAGTAAAAAATTTTTAAACAAAGTTCCGGTTCCGGCTCGGAACCAAAAAATTAGATCTGGTTCCGGTCAAAATTTCAGTTCCGGTTCCGGTCAAAATTTCAGTTCCGGTTCTGGCCAAATATTTCAGTTCCGGTTCCGGCCACCTGCTCCCGGGTGTAATATACAATGATTGACATTCAAACAGCCTATAGGAAAGCCGGCCCTCGTAATAAGTGACACTACCTGTTTTCTTTATCCGAACAGCAAATTCTTCAATATTATCTTCAAATCCATGTAAAAACAAAGGAGTCGATTCAGCTATCGCTGCTTGCCACTGCAAAAAAGCCAATTTAATCAAAATTAAAAACTAATTTAACCTTTCCGTCCAAAACAGATTCAGAAATTGCAGGCTCAAATTTAATGATTACATCTTGCCTAAAGATAAAGTTGGTGCGAATCTAAAATTAATTTCTAATCAAAAAATTATTTAATATTTACCAGTCTAAGTTTATAGAATTTAATTCGGGCCAATCCTCCCTCGTATTTATTAATAAAGTTCAAAAAATAAAAGTTGGTTTGTTTGAGAGAGAATAATTGCTCGAAATTAAGACATTTTAAAACGTCAAGTTGAACTTCCGGCGGAATAGAAAACATTCCAGACATTGAAATTCTAAACATATTTTTAAATAAAAATTCAAATCAAAGTTTAAAGATAAATAGGGTAGGTTCTAATTAGAGCTACCTGTTTTCTAATTAGAGCTACCTGATTAGTTTTTCTAATTAGAGCCGGGCTCCTTTCTAATTAGAGCCCGGACTGGGAGTGTCATAAGAGAATCGAGATCTCGAAAATCGAGATTTTCGATCGAGCTCTCGTCCTGATCCGGTCTCTAATGAATACCTCTTTAACAAAAAAAAAATTTTTTCTGACTAGTCTGGAAAGACTTGTTAAAATTTAATTTTTTTTGATGAATCATCAAGAATTTAAAATTATGGCATTAATTTCAAAAAAATTAATTAAATGCAAAATAAAAACTGAAGCTGATATTCTAAATTCAAACTTTTCTGAATCCAATATTTTTTTGAGATCAAGTTTTCTGTAAAAAATCAGCTTCAGTAAAATTTAAATAAAACGGCTTACAACATTTGCGGATTAAAATTTGCGGACAAGTTTAATAGTCCATTGAGTTCCCCCACCCACTACCGATATAAAGATTTTGAACAGTCCCACTACCGAAACAAGATACCAAATAATAGTGTTGGTAGTATGGTATGCTCTCTAGTTATACTAGATGTCTCTCATCCACACAATTCCAAAAATCCACCCTTTGGATAAAGGTTGGCGATTTAGATATCCTAATCCGATAAAAGTCAAGGTATTCGAAATTTTCGGAACGGATATCTAGATTCTTTAGACTACACAAGATTCTATTAGCTACATCCTTGAAATGCATAGGGAGATAATCGAAAAGTAAAAAACATAAAAAGGATAAGACCCGTCAATCTATCCGCAAATTTCACAATTTTCCTCGAATGTTTTTATCACCATATATATTAAAAACTCTAAAAAACTTTAAAAAAATTCAGTCAAAAGTCTCCCAATTATTTTTTCTTTTAAATTGTTCTGACTGTAAAGAACGTGTATAAGCTAAAGTATTTCCATTTGGAATAATTAAAGACTGGGAATTTGATGAAAATGAAGAGGAATTATTTGGAGAATTACTATTTGGTGTAGTTGTTGTTGCTTGAATATATAAATTTGGACTTGAATGAATACTTGAATGAAGATGTGAGTGAAGATGATTATTTGAAGACAATAATGCTGTTTTTCCTTCTTTCTTTATTCCTTCCTTCTTCTCTTCCCCTTCTTCCTTGTCATCATTTAAATCAATCAAATCATCTACTGAATGTACACTTACAACATCCAAAGATTTCTCTTTCTCCTCTTCTCTTCCTCCTCCATTTAATTTTGAAGACATTTCTTTATTTAAATCAAATTCTAAAGCATCTATTGATAAAGGATTTATAATTTCTTTCCTTCCAATTAATTTCGGTTTTCTTTTTAATGAAATTGCTCGACGATGATTATTTGCTGTTGTTGTTTTAGGTTGTTTTGTCGATTTTGTTGTAGAAGATGATATTGTTGTTGATTTATCTTTCATCTTTAAAAGAAAAAAATTTTTTTTATTAATGGGGGTTTTCTATTGGGGAAGGGAGGGGAGAGTTTTGGCGTAAGGATAGGCCGGGTTATCCGAAATTTGACCCAAGTTTTTTTCAACCTAACCCATCTCTGCTGGGCGTACTTGAAACAAGGCTAACCGCAATCGGAGTTTACTTTACAAGCAGTCCCCCGGCCACAGTTGTGGACATCCCTTAAAGGCTTAAAACACCTCTTATCTAAAAGGATTTGAGTTGAGATCGATAATTTCTGACTATGGCAATATGTTATTAAACCCGATTCTCAACCCACGGCTTTGCCAAGTGAATACACCAGATAATTGTCCATTTTATCGCAATTAAAAAAAGTTTTTAACGAGGCGTCAAAAACACTCCAAAATTCTCAACCCTTAATTCAAACCCAAATAATTTAAAAAATTTTCCCTACATGCCTTCATCGAATGAAATTGGTCCTTTAATGCAAAAATAACATCGCTAGCATTCTCCTTAATCTTTAAAAAATAAAAAAATTTTAATCAAAAAAATAATAGATATACCGAGGAGACTGTTTGTTGTAATAATTCTGGTGGTCTCGACTAGAAAAATTTTGTTTGAAAAAAATTTTCAAAATTCAAAAAATTTCAAAAAAATTTCCAAAAAATTTTGAAAATTTTTCCAAAAAAATTTTCAAAACTAAAAAAAAATTTTTCAAACCCAAATTCCTTTCGACAATCCACGAACATCCAATGATTGTACTTCTTTTTCAAATTTATCATTTATAGCAATTCCATTTTTTAACGCTTCTAAACGTTCTTGAACAAATCTTTCAAAATATTGAACACCATCTTTTCCAATTAAGGTTTCCAAATATGGGCGAATACTTGGCCTTTCTCTTTCCAAAAATATTTCTCTATCCCATGTGTATATTCCATCAGAACCTGCGAGTAAAAATTAAAAATTGTTAGGTTCTAAAATTTCCAAAATTTTCGCTTGTGGAAAAATCTTACTTCAAATTACTACTAGTACCGGTATCGAAAAAAGATATGACGACGAAAATTACTTTGGACAATAAAAGATAAAGAAGGCAGATTCCCAGTTTATGTTTGGAAATTAACAAAATCTATTCCCTGAAGTTTGAGGCGGAATTCAAAGTTTTTTAATTGACCCGGTCCGAAACCCATCCTAATAATAAAATCGAGAAACGGTCAAAAACCTAATAAAAACCCCGATCCAAACCAGGACTGTCCACAATTGCGGATTGCGTAGTTTTTTGGGCTTGCGAATTGCTGCTGCGGATTTTAAAATTAATATTGCGGACTGCGGAAAATTTTTTTTCACTTGCAGACAGTCCTGGATCCAAAACCTAACCAGACGTTTTTCTCAATCCGTCATATCACTACAATTAGACTGGAATGAAAAAATCCCAAAAAAAAGACGGACTAAATCATCCTTAACAACCCAAATGTCTACTAAATAATAATAAAAAATAAAATAAAAATCAAAACCTTGAGTAAAACCACAATTATAATTTCCAAATAAAATAGCATTTGTCCTCAAAAATGTTTTTGCAAAAGAATCGGACAAAAACAAATCATTTGAAAGTTTTAACCGGCTCCACAAATAATTATAGGCCTCTTGTGGCAATTTATCTTGATAGGGAGAAGACAGCATTTTTTCATCCAAATCAGTTAATACAATATCTCCAAGCTCGTTTTTATTTATTTTTAAAAATATTTGTTTTGGAACTCCAATTAAATAAGGCATTGGGGCCCTAAAATTAATTTTTTTTAATTAAAAAAGACAATTTTTAATTTTGTGGGCCAATTATTTTTTTGTTAGTCCTTGGTAACATTTATTTCAACTAGTGTCCCAGTTTATTCTTCACTTTCCCAGTCACCAAGGGCGTAGCTCAAATTTTTCCCTTTTCCCACTTCGGAGGGGGGGGGGAGGGAGTTTAGCCCCAGAAGCCTCCTGGCTATGCCCTTCCAAGTCACCGGGAAATCATTAGCCACAAAATTAAAATTAATTTAAAATTAAAAAATAATACATTAACATATCAGTCAAATCTTGGGGTAAAATTGGAATAAATAAATTTTGCCTAAAAATGAAAAATAATTTAAAAAAATTTCTTGCAAACCACTCAAAAGGATTTAACAATTTAGCAAGTCCAAAAACACAAGAAGACAATTGACTCAATTTTGAAGATATAAAAACTATCCTTCTTTCTTTTAAAAGGCTAAAAAAATTAAAAAAAATTTTTTAATTAATCAAAAAAAAGGCGGGGAAGAAAGGACAAAAAATCCCAACGGTGAAAAAAAAAGAAAATTTCAAAAAATTTTTAAGTCTAACAGAAATACGATTATTTTTCATTATGCTCCCAAAAATTCCGGAATTTTATCCATCAGGATTAAATAAACTTGAGGAAATCTGGCAACAGGCCCGTAACCAGAGGGTAGGAGAGGGGAATCCCCTCCCGAAAAAATATTGTTTACGGGCCTGTTTGGGAATAAATATAAATAAAATCCTAAATAAATCAAATAATTCTAAATAAAAAGAAAACATAAAAAATCCATGTGAAAAGCAATTATCAAAAAATAATAGCCAAATGGATAGGGTCCGACATTTCCCGAAAACTCCCATTAAAAATTAAATAAGCTTACGATGAATATAATTGCACCATTTGTCTTTCATTCACCGCATTAAAAAATTCCAATAAAGATTTGTCTTCTTGTAAAGTTGGCAAATTAGAAGGGTTCGGAATAACATCAGAAAACCTCTAATAAAATAAAAAGAAAAAATTAAATAAAAAATTAAAAAATACTCCAATATTTGAACATGCAGTCAAAGAAAAAGTTGAACCAGGAGAAGGAATATCCATATGATAAGCATTTATTAAAAGGGATTCAACATCTACAGGCTAAAAATTTTTAAAAATAATGAAGGAAATTATGAAACCAAAATTAAAAAAAAATTTAGAAGACGAGAGGTTAAGGAATATTTTTAAGGTCTTGGCGTCAGATTAGTCTAACCCCGTGGCAGCTCAAATTCTCTAATTCTTTTTTAGTTAAGCCGCCTCATGCAAAAATTAACCGGTCGTCAATAGCAGTAGAAACAAAGACCCGAGAATTTTTGGTTTTGTTTTTCGTTTAGGTTCCGCCTAATCGAAGAATTTTTAAAAATAAATCCAAAGTATGAGGACAGAAGATAAAACATAAATGTGCCCAAAATGCAAAATAACCTTAATTATTTGGTCTGGTTGTGGACCTTGACCAGATTCTTGACCTTGAGTCAAAAAAATCAAAGTCTTAATCCAGAGCCGGGCCGATCTCTAGAAATCCTACGCCTCTTTCCCATTTAAATATCCAACAATCCCAGACTTAAATTATAATAAAACATACGGCTCCTTTCGTTGTAACAGTAGAAATATGATTCAAAAATTTATAGAAAAAACTTGTCCATAAAAATCCACTAAAAAATTTGGACTTTTAAAAAAATTATTAAAAAAAACCTCAAAATGCACAAAACAGAATTACTTCGAGGGGTAAAACGGCAATAACCAAAAGTATGAAGGGAGGAAGCATCCGTGAAAGCAAAAGTGAATAATTGAACAGGTTCGTTCTCAACACTGAAAGAAATAGAAAAAATTTTTAGTTCAACTCAGGAGACAAAAACATTTATTTAAAATAACTTATAGAGCATTTGATATTCAAATTGGAAGGCTCTAGGCACTATTTTAATGGATCTAGAACCAGGGTAATGGGGGTCTATATATGAATCCAGGCCTTAATTTTTCCTGGATTCTGAGTCAAGATTAGGTTAGGGGAAAAATTTAAACAGCTTCTCAGGTCAATAAAAATCGACTAATTACAAAGAATACTTTGAAAATTTCTGAAAAATATTTTCAGAGTTCATATTTGACCGAGGCTACCCAGAACAAAAAGACATCCCCAAATCAATCAAGGCCAAGACTTATCGGGCTTAATCAATAGACTAACAATAAATTTAAAAAAACCTCGCATTTAAAGCATTGTGAGGGATACAAAATTGTTTTATCGATTTCAATATGCCTTCATCGTTGAATTCTTGGGGGTATAAAACCTTAAACGTGGTCACAAAATTAAAAAAATTAATTTTAAAAAACGTTTATTTGCACAGAATTGGAAGCATCCGACGAGACAACGCAACAAACATCAAAAATCGTAGCTATATCCTTACTAAAAATTAATTAAAATGTACTTGTGTAGTTTACCTCCCCTATCCAATTTTTTGATGTACAAAATGGTCAGTCATTTTTCCTTTGAATAATTTCACAAAATTTATCTGCAGTATCCTAAATCAGTCAGTCTACCTTCATTAAGACATGTTTTTTGTGAGACATGCCTTTGGTTTCAAGTTCCATACTGACTGGATGATGCCACAGGGAAATTTTGTGAAATTATGCAAGGAAATGACTGATCATTTATAGATTTTTTAAAAAATGGATGGGGAGGGGGAGGGGAACGACATAAGTACTAGAGGTCGAGATTTTTGGAAAGCCTGGACCTGTTGCTGGACTTTGGGTTTGATTTATTGACCTGGACTGGATCCTGGGCCTGTAGTCCAGGAAAGACACAGGAAGGTCAAAAAATGCCTGGGCCTGGACTCTGGGTACAGGAAAATCCCAGGCCTTGATCCAGGCCCAACTCGATCTCTACTAAGTACCACTTAAAAAATTCAAGAATTAAAAATAAAGATAAGAAAATTTACCGAAAGCGTGAACCCATTTTACGAGTAAAAATAAAAATTTAATTGAAATAAAACATAAATAACATTAAGAAAAACGTCTAGAAATTTAATTGGAGTTAAATGTGGTTGTTAATAGAAAATAAAAGGCGGAAAAAAGGATTAAAAATGCTGAGAAAAAGCTTAAAACTCAGTTTCTGGGAATATAAGTCAGCAAACTCAAGTTTGGCGGCACTCTAGTGACCCCAACCGGCCTTTTCTTGGCCAACTTTCAAGATAATTTTGTTAAAAGTGTTCTCCAACGCGGGACAGGGTAGGGGACGATTCAGTATCGCCGATTCAGTCTACGCCGATTCAGTCTACGCCGATTCAGTATTCGCCGATTCAGTATCGCCGATTCAGTATACGGGGAAAAGGGGACGATTCAGTATACGTAGAATAAATTACCCTAAAAATTGAAATTTCGGAAAGTAACTGATTTATTTTTTTTGTTTTAAGATTTTCTTTGTTCCTTAGGTGGTCTACCACAACAATTAGCAATAACCAACACAATTATTAATGAAAAAAATTTTTATGGAAAATTTAAAAATTTTTTTTTAATTTTTAAATTTCTTCAATTTTCTTGAAATCTTAAGACGGCGAGAATTCTACATTGAATGGCGAGGTTTCTTCTACGGACACATGGTTTATTTTTTAGTTTTTTGATTTTTTGAAAATTTTTTTACCTTTTCATTTCTAAATTTGTTAGTTTATATTGCTGATCTCCAATTAACTCCAATTAAAGGCGAGGTTTATTTATTTTTAATTTTAAAATTTTTCAAAAGAATTTTCTTGGAATTTTTTTATTTTTTAAGACCATTTTAAGGGGGTTGTCGACGACGTGTTCGCACTGCTGTTGCACTGACTGACCACCTACCAAAACAATTTCAGAAAATTTGGCAACAACAACCTTAACCCAAACGGCCCTCTTTAGGGCCACAAATCTAATAAGTGAAATGAGACAATGACTTTTTTATTTTTTGATAAATTTTTGTTTATTTGACTCATTTTATAAAAATTTTTTGTTCCTTGAAGAAAAAAAGTCGAGACCAAAACTTGACCCTAAGCCAGAAAAAGCCTAGAGTTAAGACTCGGCTGGCTTTTAAAATGTTCCTTAGATTGTAGGAAGTAAGAAAAACGAAAAAAAATCTACAAGAAAAAGATTTTCTAACCCAAGAATATATGTATACTGAATCGTCCCCTTTTCCCCGTATACTGAATCGGCGGATACTGAATCGGCGTAGACTGAATCGGCGATACTGAATTGGCGATACTGAATCGTCCTTAACCGGCGGGACACGCCCGAGTAGGCGCGGGCCAAGTAGGCGCGACTGAGTAGGCGCGACCGAGTAGGCGCAGGCCAAGTAGGCGCAAGGCCAAGTAGGCGCACGGCCAAGTAGGCGCAAGTTATTTTGTTCTTTTTCAATTAGTCGCAAATTTGTTTATTCTTTGATTACTACATATTTATTTTTGATTTAAATAAAATTTATGTATTTCACTTTCGTTGTTACATATGTTTTTATTTAAAGTTTAAATTTATTTTCGGTAGCGTTTTTCATATATTTATTTTGTATAACTGGTGCGGAAACGTGTTGGCGCGGAATCGTGGGCGCGGAATCATACCCCACCGTGTGTCACCAAATAAGTGACTAATTTAACTCTTTTAATCAAAATTTTATGGAAAAAATCTTCAAATTTTTCAGAGAGAATGAGAAAATGCTTTGGTAGCAGATTAATTAAAGGATTTATTTCGATTATTCGATGGGTTCCAGTTGTTTTTGTTCTTTTAATTATTTGTTGGGCTTGGTATACTTATATTATTGAGTTTTGCTTTAGTAAGTCTTTAATTTAAATTAAAAAAATTTTTTTTCAAAGAAATTCTGGATGATGTTATTATTAAAATTATTTATCTTTTAATTGTCCATTTGCTTTTATTTATGTTTTTATGGTCATATATTAAAACTGTGATTTCAACTATTGGAAAGCCTTCAGAATTGGTATTTAATTTTTTATAAAAATAATTTCTATTTTAATAAACATTTGGGGTTTAATTAATTTTTCGATCACTTTCTGACCTTCCTGGAGATGAACCAATGTCATTGGAAACCTGGGATTCTAGAAAAACCTAGGAATTCAAAAAATATCTGGTCGGGTTTATAAACATTGATGTAGTAGGATTGGGGTTGCGCCAATACTTCACTAGGTTACTGAGTCCTTCCGAAGTTTTCGAGTAAAAACGACGAACTCATGCTTCCTTTGACCCCTGAAAACACGCACACTGTTATGCCCGAGAGTTGCCGAGATTTAACTAAAGTCAACGTGCAATGAATAACAATTTATCTGAAAAGAAATAACAATGTGTAGGTGAAGAGATTGAGCTGGAACAGACGAAGGAGATCAGGGACTAGCCGGGCTAGTATGATCCAATTAGACTGACGCTTACAGTGGCTTTTATAGTAGTGCCACCACTACACAACACACATAACCCTAATTGTTTATAAGAAAATCAGAGAAGTAGGGTCTCTAAGAACATTGACATAGTAGAAGAAAAGCTTTCTCGGATTCCTCTAGTCCTTCTAAGGTTATCGAGAAGGAATTCATGAACCAGAGGGAGCCCTGAGCCTGTAGAAGACCACCACTCACAGCACTCTAATCGTTTTTACGAAGAAACTCGAAAAGAATTAGAGATGAGTCCCTTACATTTTTATTTCCGTTAAACGGACCTCTCACCAAAAATTTTTTTAATTTTTTTCCTTTTACCCCTCAGTTTCATATACCTATAGAAGTTCGTGAATATATTGCAGCTGCCACAAATGATCACGAATTTCGTTCAATATTGGAAGAATTTGTTAAAGAAAGGAATATTCCTTTGTTAACTAGAGGTTATGATGGAGGGATACGTTTTTGTTTAAAATGTTCCTGTATTAAACCTGATCGTGCTCATCATTGCTCTGTTTGTGGCCATTGTGTTTTGTTAGTATTTTTTTAAATTTCTTTTTGAGTTCGAATTTAATTTTTATTTACAGAAAATTTGATCATCACTGCCCATGGTTTGATTTTTTTTATTTTCCAAAGAGAAAACTCCTTTATTAAGAAAAAATTTTTGTAAAAATTTTTTCTTAATAAGCAACCTCGTTATAAGCTTAATCTCTTAGCACAATCCCAATGGCTTCCGCTTCCTTTTCCTCCATAAGAACCATTTTCCTAAATTATTTTTTAACTTTCCCTGTATTTGCGCATTTTCGTTTTCTAGGAAATATATTTGCGGATTAAATTTGCGGACTTTTTGTTTCCTTAAAGAATATTTTTAGGAACCTTAAAATGACTGGCTTTACATCTTCCCAAATCTTATCTTTCCTAAATCATATTTCTTTTAAAAAATTTTTTTCGGACAAAACTTGCGGATTTCTTTCATATTTTTAAAAAACCTTAGATTTTGCAGAACCTTTAAAATACTAATATTTTCAAGGGTAAATACCTGTATCAACTATCGCAACTACAAATTTTTTATTCAATTTCTTGGATATGGATTTTTAATGTGCGCATTTGTTTTCTTCACAATTCTTCCACATTTTATAAATTTTTGGTCAAAAGATGATCCAATGAAAGTTTCATTTCTACGAATAACCGTCTTTTTTCTCTTCTTTGTAACTGGAATGTTTGCAATTTCGTTGGGTTGCCTATTTGGTTATCATTTATTTTTGACTGGAAAAAATCGTTCAACCGTTGGTTTGTTTTTCTTGAAACTTTTTGGCTCAACTTTAGGGTATGCGTCAGGGATGGGCGATTTCGCATTTCGCATCTTTCGCATTTTTTGGCGCGAAAAGTTTCGCATTCCGCATTTCGCATTTTATTTTTTTAAAAAAAGTTTCGCATTTCGCTTTTTATTTTTTGATTTCGCCCATCCCTGGTATGCGTCCTATAAGTTCCCAGGAATCTCTTTACCGCTGAAAAAAAATATTTGCGGACAAAACTTGCGGACTTTTTCTCAATATTTTTTGAACTCATCAGTTTGAACCAATTTCTCTATATGCTTTCAAACACCTCGATATCTATTTTAAGCCTAAACTTCAGATCAGGGCATCCGCAATTTCGATTTCGAATTCTTTTTTTTTGACTTGCGGATTTTATTTTAAAATATCGGCTGCGGAAAATTTTTTCAATCGCGGACAGCCATGCTCCAGATTCTCTTAATCCGCCAGACTTTAACGTAAGAAAACTCTAAATCTCCTACTTAATCACCCAAAAACATTCAATCCTCACAAAATTATTTTTGGGACTCATATACTCTGAAGCGACGCATAATAGTTCATAAGACGCATATCCTAAAGTAAAAATTCTCTAAATATTTTTCTTTTCTAGAATCTTTTCGTCCACCAGTCTTTGCTTATGGACCAGATAGAAATGGTTTTAATTTGGGTGTAAAATCGAATTTTGCTGATATTTTTGGAAGTGAAAAGTACAAATGGTTTTTGCCTATTTTTACAAGGTTTTTTTAAATTTTTTCTTTGGAATTTCTGGGCCAAGGCTTTGAGTGATTTTTTTTAAATTCCCGTCTCAAATTTATTAGGTGACCTAGAAAGAAAAAGCACAAGATTCACAAGTCATATTCTTCCAAATCATTTCCTTGAAAAAATATTTGCGGGCAAAACTTGCGGACTTTGCTTCTCCATAACAAATCTTTAAGGCTCCGACCTCAAAAAACACTTATTCGGACCCCTTAACTTTTTTGGTCTAACTCAAGCTTGGTTTAGCTCCTTGGAAGGCTCAACAAAAATTCCTTAACGATTTAAAATTAATTTTAAAAAAATTTTTCAGTACGAGTAACGGCCAACATTTTCCACAAAAAGCTGCAAGAGGAAACCAATCTCATCAATATCAAGGGAATAATTATCAAACAGGTAGACCACTTCAAGGTTTCAAATTAAATTTTTTAAATTTTATTTAAAAAAAATTTTTAGCAGTTGAAGTTGTCTAATCAGGTCCATTTTTAATGCATTTTTAACTAAAAGTCTCTCCGGAACAAGAAAAATATAAATAATTTTTAATTTCTATTTGTCCTCATTTATATATATAATTTTATTTTTATGCCAAATTTAATGTAGAAAAACTTTAATTTTAATATTATATCTTTTTAATTAATAAAATTTTAAAAAATTTTTGTTTCGGACAAGTTCGAAACATTCCAGTAAACCTTCGCTAGTCGGGGACATACTTAGAAATTTTCAATGATTTTACAAAAAAAAATTTTTACAAAAAATTTTTTTTCAACCTTGAACTTCCAGAAAAACTTTTCAGAATCATTAAAAGATAAAAACCAAAGACTAAAGAGAGTTGACCCTCAAATTAACTCAGAGATGTCGTGGATTTTCTCAACCCCTAACTCACTAACCCAAACTTCGTTAAATTAAAATAAATTTCTTTAAAAATCCACAACCCCAATAATCTCAAAAATTTTCCAAAAAAACCTCTTCTTAAAAAACAATATCATTTTTAATATTTTCTCAACAAATAATAACAAATCAAAAAGAATATACTTTTATAATACTTCATCCAATTCTTCACAACTTTTCATTTAATTATAGTCCACATTCAAGCAGTTTGTTTAACTTAAACTCCTCTAAAATTGAAAAAAAGTTTTTTAAATTGTAATTTTTCTTTATTTTTAAGGACAGACTAAACTTATAAGCCCGAGTGATCTTTGCAAAAATTCTAAAGAAGCCGTTTGTTTCTAAATAGTATCAATGAGGCGGACTCCTCGTAAAAAAAGAATCTACCTCTTATAGACAGCCACAGAGAATTCTTTTCGAAAAAACCTGCCCCGACAAAAACTATCCTTTGGGAATTCCAAAAATTGATCTGTTTTCTATTGAAATATTTGAAAAATAAACACTACTTCCCCTCCCGTTCCCCCAGAAATGGAGTCCACAAAAAATTCCTAGGGAACTTTACAAATTATACCACCTCCTATATTCTTCCCAACCCTTATATTCTTAATAAAAAATTTAAAAAATTCAAACTTTGCTTTCTTCTCCTCTCCCTTTTTCGAAGCCAGAATTGCCGCACGACGAAGAACTGACGCATACGGATTTAATTTGACCATTAAACCATGTTTTCGCAAAGGATTACGATGAATTTTTGCAACCTTCGTTTGCTTGCGGACAGGACGCACAACTTTTGTAATTTCATCAGAACGAATAATTCTTGCAAAATCAGAATTTGTCATCTTTGCATGTGGAAGAGAAAATCCTTTTTTAACCCAAGATTTTTGTGTCCAAGTTCCATAAATTGAATCCAATTTACGAAAAGCACTTTCTGTCCAAATTGTAAAACGTCCCAAATGTCCTCCTGGAGCAATTTTTAACAAATTTATATGTTTGACAGATAAAAGAGTAATTCCAGGAATATTGCGAAAAGCACGAACAATTCCACCGTCGTTGTTGTAAATTATTAGAGGGCCAAGTTTTTGTTTGTAGCGACGATTACGACGCTTGCCTTTGCCAGCACGATAACGTTTGGATTTGTAAACCTTTAATGAATAAAAAATTGTGGTGATAAAATCTGAGGAAGTATAGAAAAGATCCTTTAGGTTGGAATAAGTCGTTAGGGTCATACTAGACCCAGGCCCGTAGCCAGGATTTTTTTTCGGGGGGGGGGGGGGGCCAAGGGGGGAAAAATTTTTATTTTCAGCGCTGCAGGCGAAAATTTTTTGAATTTTGGACCTCAAGAAGCCAGATTTCTTCCTTTTTTAGCGCCGCAGGCGAAAATTTTTTAAATTTCAGAGGCCGTAGGCCAAAAAAATTCGCTTTTTTTGCCCCGACCCTTCCCCAAATTTTTTCCTTTTCCCCATTTCGGGGGGGGGGGGGGGGAATTCCCCTCCCCCCCACCCCCTGGCTACGGGCCTGACTAGACCATTATATAGCAAGGGAATATAGATTCATCTCTATGAAACGAAGATGAATCCCTAGATGATGTCTATACAAGAGAAGGGCATGTGGGATCGCCTAATTAAATTCTCAAATTCCTACGACTCAGTGTTAGGCAACCGAAACCCGTGCTGAAGTTGAACTTTGATACTTAAGAAAAGTTACATTCATGCTAAAAGCGAGCCAGGGTCCATAAACCAACTATAAGTACAAAAATAAAACCTTTACAATATCAGCCCAAACATTAGCTCGTTGCAAAAATCCAACAGCTTCCTTTGTTTTCGTGAACGATTCAATTTTGTCCGCAATAACCAATGGAACTTCGCTAACTTCAAGGGCGTAGCCAGGGGGTCGATTTCGGGGGGGGGCTAACACTGGGTGTGCGCCAAATTTTTGGCGTTTACCTTGGCGTTCCGGACGCAAATTTTTTTGTACACAAATTTTCATCTTCTCAGCGCCGCAGGCGAAAATTTTTTGAATTTTGGAAGGTCGTAGGCCAAAAAAATTCACTTTTTTTGCGCCGCAGGCAAAAATTTTGAGGATTTTGGAGCTCAAGAAGCCAGATTTCTTCCATTTTTTGCGCCGCAGGCAAAAATTTTTTGAATTTTGACCTCAAGAAGCCAGATTTCTTTCTTTTTCAGCGCCGCAGGCGAAAATTTTTTGAATTTTGGAAGGTCGTAGGCCAAAAAAATTCACTTTTTTGCTAATTCTTCTCCTAATTTTTCTCCCCTTTCTCCCATTTCGGGGGGGGGGGGGCTTCAGCCCCCCCCCAGCCCCCCCCTGGCTACGCCCCTGGCTAACTTGATCAATAACATGTCCACGTGCCTGAACTAATGCTGGCACTCCAGTTGCAGCAATTGCAGAGACAACAGCATAACGACGTTGAGCAATATTGATACGACGATGCCAACGACGATAAACTTTTGTTGGAGCAAACATACGACCACCACGGCACATATTCCCAAAAGCTCCTTGACCAGAACGATGAGTACCGCCACCACGAACACGAGGAATACGAGCAACAGCACGTCCAGTTCCCCATGACTCGGCAGATGTTTGGTGACCTAAATAAGGATTGGAAGTAAAATTCTATCCTATTAAGTCTCTCCAAGTATCCTTAACTTCTAATTGTATGAGTAACCCTAGAGGGGTTGGATGAGGATATCAGGGATAAAATGAAGGTGCTTCCCGAGCCCGAAGGAACTTTTGACCAAAGATTAATAATGGTGAAGTAACTCGCATAAGTAACAGAGATCCTACAATACCCGAAGCTACTAACTTAAACCGTGGCAGAGTTGCTAGCCTGCCAAGTCCCCCAAATCCTTAATTGTATGAGTAAACTCCTAAAGGTTTTAAGTGCCAATACGATCAAAAAGCAAAAGAACCTCACATATTCGAACGAATCAATAACGGGGGAAGCACACCCATCGAAAGGCCCAGAGATTTTATCTAACCAAAAATCTACTAATCTAAACACCACCAACATACTCTTAAAAAAGAATTCAAAAATTATAAACCTGCAGCAGTCGAAACAGCATAAGCTTGTCTCTTATTCTTTCTCATTTGGTCGTGGATGAAGCTAACAATGTCTGGTATGTCTCTTTTTTTCCTAGTTTTAGCACTCAGTTGACAGGCCAGCAGCAGCATCATCGTCAGACCTAAAGTTTTTTTAGATTAAAAAAATAAACTTTTTTAAACTCACATATTCTTGAGACTTGGCACCTTCTCATAGAGCGCAGTTGACGTCGACTCGGTAGAGGCAGAGATGGCAGACTCCTTTCCAGCAAAATCTTTGCACTGCTTACAGGTGGTACCTCCATTGCCTTTGGTCTTCACTCCACTTTCACCAACCAACTTGCCCAGGCCCGGTTCATGTCCGCCGACTCCTTTCTTTTCGTTCTTGCCCATGCCCGGTTCACGTCCGCCGACTCCTTTCTTTTCGTTGCCCAAGCCGCCGACTCCTTTCTTTTCGTTCTTGCCCATGCCCGGTTCACGTCCGCCGACTCCTTTCTTTTCGTTGCCCAAGCCGCCGACTCCTTTCTTTGCGATCTTGCCCAAGCAATGTTCTTGGCCGCCGGCTTCTTTCTTTGCGATCTTGCCCAAGTGTTCTCCCTGTCCAACATCCGCCTCTATATTCTTCGCCTTTTCCAAGTTTGCAGCAAGGTCAGAGAGAAGCTCATTATCCTAAATAAATAGAAAAAACATCTAGAACATGACCATATCTAGCCTCAAGCGAATGGCGTCGAGCCCGCTCCTTGTCCAATTGCGACTTGTGCGACTCGGCATTTGAGCGTTTGGACATCCTGGATGGTGAAGAGAGTTTGTTGTTTGGTTTAAGAAGAAAATTTAATTTTAGTCAGAATTGGATCAGCTTTTATATGAAGAATTTAGGAGAAACTTTGGATGTATATCGGGCAATCGTGTAGAATTGCGGTCCCGTTGGAAAATTAATTTAAGAATCCTGCAAACACATTTTCTAGGGTAACTTTCAGCGCTGATCACGAATCTGAACTCATATTTTGTCTATCACTTGATTTTATCTATGATTTTTTATCAAGTACTTGATTATCAAGTACAAGCATTTATCGGCTACAAGAATGGTATCATTCGAGAGAGCCCTGAAATCTGAGACGAACTAGGGGTAAACGAAGTCGGTCCGTTATCTAGGGACCGAGATATGGTCACTTGAAAATCCAAAAACCATCGGAGGGAACCTGTTCATTTTGGGGTAAAAATTCGAAAAACCACATTAAAGCTCGTTAGAAAGAGCTCTTCGAGCTGAGTCGAATGACACAAAAATTAACGCAATCTGAATAGCTAGGACGGCGTTATAGGCCAAAAAATTTGATACCCCATAGATGGATTAGGCCCATTTTAGGACCATATCTCAGTCCCTAGATAACGGACCGACTTCGTTTACCCCTAGTTTGTCTCAGATTTCAGAGCTCTCTCGAATGATACCATTCTTGTACTTGATAAATGCATGTACTTGATAATCAAGTACTTGATAAAAAAATCATAGATAAAATCAAGTGATAGACAAAATCCGAGTTCAGATTCGTGATCAGCGCTGAAAGTTACCCTAGAAAATGTGTTCGTAGGATTTTTAAATTAATTTTCCAACGGGACCGCAATTCTACACAATTGCCGTATACCGGAGTCTTAGTTTCGACACAAAACCCATACCATTCGATTCGTCTCGCGAGCTGAGTCGAAAATAATATTCCTATTTCTATCCATCACATGTCCCTTCTGTTCCTAGCACATCCAGTCAATTCAGAGCTCAGGTAGACGGGCCAGCAGCATCATCGTCAGACCTAGTTTTTTTATTAAAAAACGAACTTTTTAAACTCACATATTTTCTAGACTTGGCACCTTCTCATAGAGCGCAGTTGACGTAGACTCGGTAGAACCAGAGATGGCAGACGCCTTTCCGGCAACATCTTTGCAATGCTTACAGGTAGTACGTCCATTGCCATTGGTCTTCACTCCCCTTTCGCCAACCAATTTGCCCAGGCCCGGTTCATGTCCGCCTCCTTTCTTTTCGTTCTTGCCCAAGCAGCCGACTCCTTTCTTTTCGTTCTTGCCCAAGCAGCCGACTCCTTTCTTTGCGTTTTTGCCCATGTCCTGGTCTTGGCCGCCTACTCCTTTCTTTGAGATCTTGCCCATGCCCTGTTCTTGACCGCCAAGATCCGCCTCCAAATTTTTCGCCTTTTCCAAGTTAGCAGCAAGATCCGAGAGCAGCTCGTTGTCCTAAAAAAAGAAGGTTTTTTAAAAAAAATTAAATTTTCTTACATGTTCATTTGCAGCCATTACCGCATTGATGAGAACAACAGCATCGTTCAACAGATCCAACACATGACCGTATCGAGCCTCAAGCGAATGGCGTCGAGCGCGCTCCTGGTCCAGCTGCGACTTGTGCGTATCTGTATTTGAGCGTTTGGACATCTTGATGGTGGAGAGGTTGTTGTTTATCTGAAGAAGAAAATTTAATTTTAGTCAGAATTGGATCAGCTTTTATATGAAGAATTTAGTATAAAAGCAAGAATCTTCCAAATTATCTACCTCATTCCTTCAAAAACTTTGTAACCGAAGCATGTCACAAATTGGTCAACCGATGAAGACTACAGATCTCTACGATCAGCCGCCACCACCAGCAGCAGCATCAGTAGCATCAGCAGCGCCACCGCCGCCGGCAAACGACCAACTCTATGAACAACCGCCACTGGTTGACGATGGGAAGCAATCGACGGCAAGGACGAAAAGCGAAGAAGTTCAGCGACCTACAAAGCCAACCCAGAAAACCGAGTACGAAAACATCGATGAAATGTAGGCATCTTTTTTGGGATCTATCAGTTAAGTTTTAAGAAGAATGTTCAAGAATTCAAAAATAATTTCTTTCATTTTCCAGGAAAGAACAAAAAAAGCGGGAAAACGAAAGGGGAAGAAGTATGGCAAGTCTGTTACGCCAATTTTTGGCAAGTCTGATACACCATTTTTTTGTAAAAAAATTTTTTACAAAAAAATTTTTTTTTCAACCTTAAACTTCCAGAAAAACTTTTCAGAATCTCATTCATTAAAAGAATTAAAGAATTGTGACTCCCAAACAGAGCTGCGTCGAAATAAAAAAATCTTCGAAATTCGGAAATCGAAAATCGAAAGAAATCCAAAAATATCGAAATCGAAAATCGAAATTTTATAAAAAAATTCGAAAATCGGAAATCGAAAATCGGCAGAAAAAAACGTCGAAAATCGAAAATCGGTAATCGAAAATCGAAATTTTTTAAAATAACTAAAAGAGTAGTAAACAATCCGCAATATGGAGATATAAGGGTTAATCTTGAGATATAAGGGGATTCAATGGATTAATGGTAGTCTTAAGAGATATCAGTGATCGTAGGGATATACAAGATTAGGGGGTTGACTAGAGACCAATTAAATCCGCACCCTAGATCATTTTAAATCCTTTATTCCTCCGATATTCTACTTACCCCTTGATACCCTTGATATCCCATCCTCCTATATCCCTCTTATTATTGTAAGGCAAATGGATTAATTAGAGGCTCGGGTGGAAAGTCAATGATAATATTATTTAGGGGATTTGGGTAATTTAAGGGGGATATTATATGATATCAGGCGAATATGAGGGATATCAAGGGTTATGCGGGATTTGGGCGTATTAAAGGGAATCTCGCGATCTTCTTATCCCTTATTTTTATCCCTCCATCTTTCTTAACCTTTTTTTGCGCCGCAAGCGAAAATTTTCAGAATTTTGAAGATCATTAAGCCAAAAAGTTCCATTTTCAGCGCCGCAGGCGAAAATTTAGAGAATTTTGAAAGATCCCTAAGCCAAATTTCTTCCTTTTTCTGCGCCGCAGGCGAAAATTTTGAAAATTTTGGAAGACTAGAAGACAGATTTCTTCATTTTTCAGCGCCGCAGGCGAAAATTTTGAGAATTTTTAAAGGCTAAGTAGCCAAATTTCTTCATTTTTGGCGCCGCAGGAATAAAATCTTAAGAGAAAAGATAATGCAATTTTGCAAAAAAAAATCGAAAATCGAACGAAAATCGAAAAAACTAAAATTATCGAAATCGAAAATCGAAATTTTATGAAAAAATTCGAAATTCGGAAATCGAAAATCGGTAGAAAAAAACGTCGAAATTCGAAAATCGAAAGTCGAAAATCGAAATTTCGACGCAGCTCTGCTCCCAAATTAACTCAGAGATGTCGTGGATTTTCTCAACCCCTAACTCACTAACCCAAACTTCGTTAAATTAAAATAAATTTCTTTAAAAATCCACAACCCCAATAATCTCAAAAATTTTCCAAAAAAACCTCTTCTTAAAAAACAATATCATTTTTAATATTTTCTCAACAAATAATAACAAATCAAAAAGAATATACTTTTATAATACTTCATCCAATTCTTCACAACTTTTCATTTAATTATAGTCCACATTCAAGCAGTTTGTTTAACTTAAACTCCTCTAAAATTGAAAAAAAGTTTTTTAAATTGTAATTTTTCTTTATTTTTAAGGACAGACTAAACTTATAAGCCCGAGTGATCTTTGCAAAAATTCTAAAGAAGCCGTTTGTTTCTAAATAGTATCAATGAGGCGGACTCCTCGTAAAAAAAGAATCTACCTCTTATAGACAGCCACAGAGAATTCTTTTCGAAAAAACCTGCCCCGACAAAAACTATCCTTTGGGAATTCCAAAAATTGATCTGTTTTCTATTGAAATATTTGAAAAATAAACACTACTTCCCCTCCCGTTCCCCCAGAAATGGAGTCCACAAAAAATTCCTAGGGAACTTTACAAATTATACCACCTCCTATATTCTTCCCAACCCTTATATTCTTAATAAAAAATTTAAAAAATTCAAACTTTGCTTTCTTCTCCTCTCCCTTTTTCGAAGCCAGAATTGCCGCACGACGAAGAACTGACGCATACGGATTTAATTTGACCATTAAACCATGTTTTCGCAAAGGATTACGATGAATTTTTGCAACCTTCGTTTGCTTGCGGACAGGACGCACAACTTTTGTAATTTCATCAGAACGAATAATTCTTGCAAAATCAGAATTTGTCATCTTTGCATGTGGAAGAGAAAATCCTTTTTTAACCCAAGATTTTTGTGTCCAAGTTCCATAAATTGAATCCAATTTACGAAAAGCACTTTCTGTCCAAATTGTAAAACGTCCCAAATGTCCTCCTGGAGCAATTTTTAACAAATTTATATGTTTGACAGATAAAAGAGTAATTCCAGGAATATTGCGAAAAGCACGAACAATTCCACCGTCGTTGTTGTAAATTATTAGAGGACCAAGTTTCTGTTTGTAGCGACGATTACGACGTTTGCCTTTGCCAGCACGATAACGTTTGGATTTGTAAACCTTAAAAAAGAGAATCGTAGGAGGCAAAATTAATGGAAATTAACAAAATATAATAAGTCTTTAAGATCCTGAAGATCCTGCTAGACCATTATATATAAAAGGTAAATGATGATGTGGATTCATCTCCTCTCTGAGAAGATGAATGCCTAAACAAGAAACCCAATCTTAAAAAGTTGGGATCATTGATAATTGAATTTTCAATTTCCTACGGCTTATTGTTAGACTCATGCCAGGCAATCGAAAAATGATCTTGAGCTGACTCCTACGCTTATGAGCCCAGATACATGATATACAAAGTCAACCAATTCCACTAGAAACAATAAGACGAGGATACCCTAGATGATTCCAAACCTTCTCTTGTTTAGGAATCATACATTCTTATCCACCGAAAGCTATCTAAACATCCCAAATTTCATTAATGCCTAAAAGTGGGCCGAGTTTCCTGAGCCAAAACATAAGTAATAAAAATAAAAACCTTTTCAATATCAGCCCAAACATTAGCTCGTTGCAAAAATCCAACAGCTTCCTTTGTTTTTGTGAACGATTCAATTTTGTCCGCAATCACCAATGGAACTTCACTAACTTGATCAATAACATGTCCACGTGCTTGAACTAATGCTGGCACTCCAGTTGCAGCAATTGCAGAGACAACAGCATAACGACGTTGAGCAATATTGATACGACGATGCCAACGACGATAAACTTTTGTTGGAGCAAACATACGACCACCACGGCACATATTCCCAAAAGCTCCTTGACCAGAACGATGAGTACCGCCACCACGAACACGAGGAATACGAGCAACAGCACGTCCAGTTCCCCATGACTCGGCAGATGTTTGGTGACCTAAATAAGGATTGGAAGTAAAATTCTATCCTATTAAGTCTCTCCAAGTATCCTTAACTTCTAATTGTATGAGAAAACTCCTATAGGTTTTAGAAGAGACCAGTGACAAAATGAGGGAGCATCCCGAGTCTGAAGGAAATTCCCAGACTTGAACGAATCAATGATGTCACACACTGGAAGGACAAACCGGAAGGACCCTAACCAAAAGCTACTAACCTAAATACCCCCAACATACTCTTAGAAAAGAATTCAAAGATTATAAACCTGCAGCAGTTGAAACAGCATAAGCTTGTCTCTTATTCTTTCTCATTTGGTCGTGGATGAAGCTAACAATGTCTGGACGAATTGGAGCATGGAAGACTGCAGGAAGCTTGATTTGCGCTCCAGTCGTTTCATTCTTTTCATTGTAAACAGAAACTAAAGGTCGAGAAGTCATTTTTTAATATTTAACTGAAAAACTTTGAAAAATTAACCGAAAATCCACAAAAAACTCTAAAAAATTCAAGAAAAAATCACGACAAAGCAAAAAACTTCATACAAAACTCTTATAAAAATTTTATATTTTGTCTTTTTCTCTAATCTACACTCTTTTCTGGTACGGCCCACTTAGTCGCGCGGCCACTTAGTCGCAGAGCCATAACTTCCTTCAAGTTTTCCGAATCTTACCAAATTTAGTATTAAACGGTTCCTCTCATCGAGCTAATGAGATTGGTACCAAAATTGATAAGGGCCAGAAATTTTTTAGCAAGTTATGGCTCTGCGACTAAGTGGCCGCGCGACTAAGTGGGCGTGTCCCCTCTTTTCTTTATTGTCGAAAAATTAATAAAAATGCGCGGAAAAAATCTATTCAAAATTCCACACTATTTCCACAGCTCTCTAACACTCTTTCAATAAAACAAAGGCCATTAAAGTCTTAAAGAATCAACACGTAAATAAATCAAAGGTAATAGACTCAAAAAAAACTTGTATCGTATAAAAAATAAAGTACACTATTTTTTTAATTTTATGTACATCAAAAATTGAAAAATTTTTCAAAAAACTTTTTTTTAAAAAGGAAAAGGAAGAAAGCTCAATTGAGATAAAATTACGCAAATAATGAATATTAAATAAACAATTAATAATGTGAGACCATGTAATCTTCCAATATTAAATTTTTGTGAAAATAAAAATGTTAAGGTTGTAAATAAAGAAATTCCAAGAAAAAGAAACATTACATTGCTAACTGGATCTGATCTAATCTGAAAAATAAATATTTTTTAATTAAATGACATTTGATCCCAAAAATAAAAAGGAGACATTTGATCCCAAAAATAAAAAAGAGACATTTGATCCCAATTTTTTATTTTAAAAAGATTTTCTATCATGTTCGAAGGGATTTGGGAGATGTGGGAGCTATGAGGGGATATCTAAAATTTTGTGGGATATGTGGAAGATTGATGTGAATATCTGGGAACGCTTGACAAAAAATTACAGGTTGTTCCGGAAAGTGTATAAGTCAAAAATTATTTAAAAGAAAGAATTACGAGTCCCGAATATATATTTAGATGGAAAACCCAAATTTAAAAAGGTAAAATTAAAAAGTAAATACCGTGACTTCTTTCCCTTGTAATTTAGCTATAGTAAACGCTGAACCAAATCCAACCATTAAATCTTTAAAAAAATAAATTTTTTATTTTATGCATTATTTTATCATTCATAACGACTACCCGACTTTTGGGAATACGACTTTTTAGGGACCCGACACTTGGGGATGAAATAGCTATTCTGGACATCCCTTTCCCCCTCCCCCCTTTAACTACTCTACAGGACACAGGTGTAGTTGACACAGAAGACTTGTACGGCTTTGTCTAAAAATCGGAAGAGATTCAAACGCAAGTCTGACACGAAAATCCTTTTAGAGTGCATAAAGAATCCCGTCCCTAGTATACAATAAAAAATTCAACAAACTAAAAAGAGGCCCTCCTATAGCTGCAGACAAAGCCATTCTGGGCATCCCTTGCCTAGCTACTGATACATCTGCTATTAAATCACCAATACTATTACACCTTTAAAAAAATTTTTTTAAATAAATTTAAAAAATTAAAAAAAAACCATGCAACAGCAGTTAATCCAAGTATTTGATATGGAATATTAAACAAATTTCCAAGCATTAAAACTACATTTAACTGAAAAATAAAATAATTAAAAAAATATTCTAGATAAATAAAACACATATGTTTTCAATGAAAGAGTTAAGACAAAAGACCCTTCACCCTCATCTTCCAACCTATTTGAGGAAAAGAACGACAAACTAAAAAGTGTAAGGCCGTGCTTGTCCTTGACAAGCAGGAAGAACACTTAAGCACCCGCCCTATAAGGATAAGGATAGGATTATTTAATGCATGGGAAAACAGTTGAAAGGGATCAGTCTAGTTGGGCCCAACGGGAGAAGAAAAGCGATCACTTTGTCGGAGAGCAGCGACGCTAGCTAATTGTTTATTAATAAGCGCTAAATTTCTTTTCCCGGGAACGTTCTCTTTTGTTATTCAATGTCGACTCTATAATCAATTATATTATTAATAATTTTGTTAGCTTTAACTTTACTTTATTCAATCGCGATTTTAAATTTTACATTTAAATAAATATTATTTTATGCGCAACAATTAGGGCCTAAGCTTTGCTTCTAACGGAGCACATACAACGTTGTATTTGAAGATAGAGTAGCCCTCACGGTGTCGATACCTCGCCTCATTTAATTTACTGGGTGGCCCAATACGTGTAAACCTCACTGGTAGCACCGGATGGTTCTTTTGAAGAACCACTTCAAATAAGAAAAACCACTTCAAAAAAAAAGTATTTTTTTAATAGGATTTAATTAATCTATAAGTGCGTCACAACTCAAACCAACACAATCAAGGGGAATCACTTAGCGGAGAAAGATAAAAAGATTTGAAATTCAATCTATATCCATAAAAACGTCTCAAGATAAAACAAAATTACTTTCAAGAAAAATTCGAATTTATTCGATAACTGCTAGAAGTCCCTATAAAGTATTTATTTTGACATATTATCTTTTTGCTCAATATTACGAAATATGACAGAAAATGTTTCATTTTTAAAGATTGGTTATTCTTTTGTCTGCTCCTCACGTGATAAATTTCCAAAAAATAAGGAGGGAAAAGTAATAAAACAAAAAAAAGAGGAAGGAAAACAAGGGAACTCAGAAAAATCGAAATTAAAACGCCAGTCACAAAAAACTCCAGGCGGAACTTTTTACAATTTTTTATGTTATCTCTCGTGATGACTTTTTGTTATTGTATAATGAAATTTTTTTTGCAGCCATAATTTTCTTCAGGGAAAAGGTGAATCATTATTGACAGCATTTTATTCATCGGGACATTATTATTTATTCTTATTTAGTTTTTATTTTCTATCTTTATTTATTTTCATTCTAAAGGTGTTTTAACTTTATGGTCGAATATTAATTTTTATGTTAGAATTTAATTTTAGACTTCCCTTTTGTGTTTTGATAATTTCGAATATTACACCATTATTTAACGAGAGTATATAGAAAATACGGGGGTCTTTAGGGAATATTTACAAAATTTTAAATTAATATTGTTTTACTGTTTTTAACTTATAATTTTGATTCTATTTTTGGTGTTTGTTTATATTCTTTTGGTTGTTTCGGGTATATATTAAGTAAAACATAAAATGGAGGACGTGTTCCTCACGTTACAAGAAGAGCAATAAATTTCAAAAAAAGAAAAAAAAGAAAAGAAAAAGGGGAAGGAAAATAGGAAGACAAAAAAAAGTAAAGTTTAAAGTTGCGAATTAAGAAAATATAGACTGGTAATCTTCGATTTGGCGTTTTTTTGGATCCATCTAAAATTTTTTAGTTTTTTCCATTTTATATGACTTTTTTCTAAAATACAAAATGAGAAAAGGATGGGACCAAAACACATCTTTCCTCCTTTTTGAGAATAAAAACATTTCAAAAGAAAAATGGTTTAAGAAACATTCATAGACCGATGGACAATAGCTATTTATTTTAGGTAACATTTGCACAAATTGTAAGAAATGTTTTAAATTTATTCCATATTATTTTCCCGCAATCCCTTTATAAAAACAGTTTAACAGTTTTAATATTAGTCATTACATTTTTGTTGGAAAAATTTATTTGTTTCCTTTTTAGTTACATCCATAATTTATTATTATTGTTTGCAAACATTGTTACATTATATAAAAATCCTTTTACCAAACATAAACAGAAAATCTGTTACCGTCTATATAAAATTTTAAAATACATGTAAAGTTAGTGAACACTTTTATTGGCTTTTACTTATTACATTCGTGTTAAATAGCTTTGAGTTTTTAGATAAATTGCTTTTATTTCTCTTTTATTAATGATTCAATTAAAACTTCAAATTTTTTCTTATTTATTAGGAAATCCTTTCATGTATTTTTTATCGTTCGCAAGCTTAATAAAATCTTAATACAATTTTACTTGTGCCTCTCTCTCATTTATTAGCTAATTTTTTGAATGTAATATTAGTGAATTTCTGGAAGATAACTCAATATTAGGAAAATTACATTATCGAAGAAGAAAAAATTATTAGATTGGCCTATCTATTGTGTTTATTACTTAAAATTTTGAATAGATAGAAAAATTGATGATTTATTAAAAAGGTGGGTTACAAATGAATTGGTATCATGAGGAAAAATGTAATAAAGAGTGTATTTTCCAGAAAGACCTATAAATATATTCTCACTAGAAATAAGGATATAGAATTATCCTAAAAGATATTGAGATCTAAAGATAAGTTATCTATTTTGCGTTTAGAAAATTTACTTCTCATAATAATGAACACAAAATATAATTGACAAATTTACATAGTATGTAAAATATAATAAGAACCAATATAAATTCAATTTATTTGTGTAGAAGAACCTGTCAAAAATGTATTAAAATATTTGTTTGCTTTTACTAAAATATTTGTTTTTTACTCCCACATAAGTTTAAAGAATTAAATCCTCATTTTTTTAACAAATGCCTTTTTTATAATTTTTAGTTATTGGTTTGAACTTAAACCATAATAGCACGAATTTTTTATTTATTGAATTTTTTTTTTGTTTTATAATACTAAAAGTATCTCCTTAATTACATAATTATTTAATTAAATCATAAAGGCTAATGTCAATTATAAATATACAAGGAGGAGGTTTAATCGAGTATTTGCACTTACAATTGAGTATAATGTAAAGGGAATTTAGTGAATAGATGGAGGTTAAATCATTTGGTTTTAATCGCTTCATCAAAGATTCATAAGTACATAGTAGAGGGTGTAAAGGGATCAGGTCCCGGCCCTATTTCTTGGTTTGTTGGTCCATTTTCCAGAGTACCGACAGTGTTTATTCTGCTACAATTTCTTATTGTCCATTCACGGGTATGTAAAAATCCGACTCTCTAGTATAGAGTAGATATTGAAGTAAGGTGGAAATAAGTAAAATATAAAAATCCAAAGGTTATCCACGTGAAAACGAGAATGACTAATCAGAGGTGTAAAGGTTTCAAAATTACAATAAAAAAGTAAAGAAGACGGGATAAAATTATTACAAGTTGAAAATTTAATGGCTGGGAAAAAAGGATAAATGTATGAGAAGCAATGTAAACACTTCTAATCTTTAACTGTTATCAAATAAAAGAGCTTGTCCAACCATTAATATAAAAAAAAGAAAAGCCTGACAAACCATTATTAAAATTACAATAGAATTATTAATATAGTATTAAGCATTAGGGAAACAAATCCACAATTTAAATTGTTATTGAAATAGTTAAGTTTAAAGATAAATGTTAGGTTGTGAGAAATTTTAACAAAATAAAAAAAATAAATTTCTGCATCTAGAAAATAAACTATAGTTTTGAAAATAAATTTTGGAGTTTTTTTAATTTTTGAAATTTAGAAAATAAACTTTACAAACACAATAAACAAAGTGGTGGATGAGTGAGACAGATCCAATAGAATCAGAAACTCCATTCATCAATAAAAACCTCTACCGGGGTAAAAGCAACGAAGAATATGCAAAAATTGCTGATTTGGATAAACTACTACAAGCTACACACACTCTTGAAGATTCATTAAACAGAAACATCAGATTAATCAACAGGAGAGCAAACAGCAATACAAATGCTATAAATCAAATGGCAATGGAAGTGAACACACATTTATCAACAGTAAACTCAAAAGTGGCATTAATCTCTTCTAAAGTCGATAAGTTTAATGAAAATAAAAATAATGGGGAAAACACAGGAATTGAGGAAATCGAACCATTAAAATTGGAATTAAACATGTTAAGCCTGTTAGACAAAGAGGGAGCCACAACCACATACAGGGAAGAGTCTGTAGTGTCTTTTGACTCTTGGGCCCAGAAATTCACTGACCTAATGGATTGTGCCCCCACTACTTGGGACGAAAAAACAAAAATACATAGACTAAAATTATACCTTGAGGGAACAACTAGAATCATTTTCGATAAATTAGAGGAAAATGAAAAAAGAACAGTAAAAGAGGCCCTAGCTTCTATAAGGAAAAGATTGACAGCCCCGCATAGAAGGGAATTATTCAAACGTGAGCTTACACTATGTAGACAAAGACCATCTGAAACGGTTTCTGAGTTTATGAAACGTTTAACCCCATTAGTAAAAGCAACTTTTGAAAATGAAACGGAAGAACAACAACAGGCAAAAATAAGAGATGAATTTTTAGAAAGATTAAAACCCAATATTAGTTTTCTGATTAGACTTGTAGGAACCGCTACGAGTCTGGATGAACTCTACATTAAGGCACAGGAAATTGAAGCGCTTTTAGCCTCTGGAAATGATTCACAAGAAGAAGCGTTAAAACGAGCCATAAATGCTATACAACCGCAAGTTGACCACTCCACTAATCAGAATATAACCTCATGGACTCCCATCTCAAATAATAATAACAGAGTTCCAAATAATCTATCGTACCAAAACCAACCTCAAAGACCTTTTGGCACTAATCAAAGACCAAACAATAATTATCGAAATTTCAGGCGTGGTGGCTCTGCAAACCAAAGAAATGGAAGATACCAAAACAACCGCCGAGGATATGGGGAAAGAAACTGGAGTGGGCGACCTATGTGT